GACGATATGAAAAGATCTGGCACAAGGACTGTCTTCACCCTTGGTCGCAGAAGGTGAAAACGGACTAGACATTGAATTTTCCCACATTCACATAACAAAGCATTAAGATATTAGTAAATGCTACTTGATCCTGCCACAAAGAAGGCATCCTCATCCAAGCTGCTGTTGATGAGACCCATAAGTGGGTGGAACGGCAGTCCATCCTCGACGAGAATATGTTTTGTGAGGAAAGTTCAAGTGACATTAAATGACCTCGGAAGGTCCAATGGGATAATTGTGAGAAAATTCATCCATCGCTCCATCATCACCTTATGCGACCTGGGGCAATACACTTCTCATGGCTGAACTTTCGTCCTTCACACCAGACGACAGACAGTTTCGGGGTGTGGGTACCATTCATACAAGAAATTTCAGTCAACTAGTCCGCACAGTTTAATCGGCCCTCGACAACAATAAGTGGGTATGAGATATGGAGTGATGTGCCATGTCAGTGTGGAACGTGCGATTGTGTGTCTGTGTATAGGCAAGGGAACAAAAGTAGCGGTGATGCCTCCAAGTAAGTGGAAATGGAGGAGAACCCTGGTCTGGGTTTACAGGTTTGACTCAAACAATTATTGGGTTTAGAGGAATTCCATAAGAGCCAGACGTCGGCGCAACGTTTGTTTCGTTGAAGAAAAAGGAATCTGTACATTGTCTGCCTCGGAACCCGATATTGATGGAATGTGAGAAGAAGACCTCAGCTCGCAGTCCTGCTATCCCGAAGGAAACGAGTTAAGCTTTCTTCTATCTCGTCAGTACGGACATCCGCGGAGCCTAAACCATAATTTACCCACAACTGATCAAAACACTCATTCTCTTTGACGATTTCTGTCGCATGCCGGAGGCAGGCTGAGCAAGTAACTATCAAGTTCGCAGAATGATGAGCCGAGGTCTTACTTGTACTATAAAACAGACATAATTCCCAAACAATCCCTTTTTGTCGTCCGATGAGGCCAATGTACCAATCCCTTTCACCTGCTTCTGCAAGCGACATTCTATTTCTGTCAACAATAGTAACCATATGCTCAAGCATCATTTTGATTACGCCACGGTAAGTTGACAAATATAAATAAAATTGGATTTCGAAGAATGTCTTGTTGATATACGATAACATGACTCTCCTTTTCATAGAAATATTGATTCGATGGAATCGGTGAAATGGTCTAACTGGAAACCGATGTAGGCTTTCCGCGGTGTAAGACTGTTAGATTGTTCATAGAAGCGCTTGACTTACTGTGCTGCGACCCAAAACATCTTGTGCTAAGCTTCGCTTTCTACCGCCCTTGCAGACATTATCAGACTATGATAACATACTTTTCGAAATTTTGAAAAATTATACTAAACCAATATTCTCTCCTCGTTCCGCACAGA